AAAGATTTTAGCGACAATTATTTTTTGTGTAATAAATCGTTTCCATACTACACAATGATCGGAAGCAAAGACGTTGCTAGTGTTTGACCGGGAGGTGCTCTTCACAGATGGCTCCAAGTCTGAACACGGAGTAGGCTTCGCGGTAGTGAACACCACTGGGGCCACTCTGATACATGGAATTTTACCTCCTTTTGCCAACGCTTATTACGCTGAAGTCCAGGCGATATTATCTCTCTACAACTAGTGAAAATACTTAAGCAAAAATTTATTGTGTGCACCGACACCTTTTCAGCATACGAATCCGCCAAAACTATGAAGAACACTTCCGAACCTAAAACTGTATTAAAGCAGCTCATCTTTAAACTAGGACGCAGAGTAAAACTTATGTGGATCCCTGGACACGCGGGAATATATGGGAATGAGCAAGCCCATAACGCTGCAAGATCAACTTTAGTAGCTCCATTAATGATGTCAACACAGAAAACTTACTAGCCGAAGGAGGCTTTCCTCCCCCCGAGGACAAAATACGCTTAATAAGTTGCAGACAAATACCGAAAATCTACTGCAACAGCAACTCAGCCTTGCACAAAGAAGTCCAACTTCTGAAAAACCGCAAACGGACACTGAAACAATCTTCTGCTCTCAATAATTTATATAGACTAATGAAAGCCGAAATCAACATCAAGCCAATGGCATCTCCTCAGCTGAAACACGCACCGTGGACTCTTAAAGAAACTTCCTTCGTCAACTTCCGTACAACATACCGAAAACACACAACAGATGTAACCACATACAGGCGACTATTTAACGAAACAATCCAGCCATTCCGAGAGAATAATTGGGAGGTGCTTTTCACAGATGGCTTCAAGTCTTAACACGGAGTAGGCTTCGTGGTAGTGAACACCACTGGGGCCACTCTGTGATACATGGAATTTTACCTCCTTTTACCACCGCTTAAGCAAAAATTTATTGTGTGCACCGCCATCTTTTCAGCATACGAATCCGCCAAAACTATGAAGAACACTTCCAAAC